CCTTGGCCCCAGATGAAACTGTTATGATCCAGTTACCTGTGGAGGCTCCAATGGCTCCAATTAGAATGGAAGGAATTGCCATTATCAAACAACCAAAAGCAGCTAAGAAAGAGAGCACTTGAGCATAGGTTGCAGAAGAAGCAGACAAGACCCTCTGAAAATAGGCCTGCCAGGGAATTCCCCCTAGCACCTGCAAATAGAAACAATGAGGGTTTATTACTACATTCAGGCATCTTAAATGCATGCGAATTGCTATATTGTGTATTGGACCTAATGTTGGTATATACATTGTTATAGAGATAATTTACCATGGTGGATATAATCTTCTTCTTTAGTATGGCAATGATTTGTTACCTCAAGCTAGCACATTACTATCATTAGCTTATATTTTTCCTTAGTTCTTGTGAGTCATGAACCTGGTAGTTATTTGTAGGAAGACTCTAAGGGAATGGACACTTTTAATAAATACTGTAATTATGCATTTATTGAAACAAATTAACTGGTATATAGCAAAAGTAGTATAAAAAGAGTACCACAAAGACAATATGAAACCTTCATGGTGTCCACCAGTCTCACAGTAACACAAGTAGAGAAAGGTTAAAAGATAGGATGTATTGTTTACTAGAAGCAGGAAACTGTCAATCCAAGCCCAGGAGTCTTCACGCTTAATACTGCCCAGCCAAGGCTCCTTGTAGACTTCTTCCACAGCTGTCACTGTGATGTCTGTAACTGCAGGATGAGTCATTGCAAAAGGTACACTGATCCACTGCAATATAAAGAACCATATTATTTGATATTTCACAAATCTGAAAACATTTACCTCAGCCATATTTAAAATACATGGGTATTATGTTATATGTTGTTATATGTTAAATACATGGCCCAAACCATTAAATATATATTAAACAGGTGTCCTATTTAAAATTATAATCCTACTAAAATATAGTTCTTTAACGCATAAGGCACTCTTGGGCCTCTGCTTTGGAAAGCAAGGATAGATGAGGTAAAAGGTAAAACACACTCTGGCCACTCTGAACATTTTTGGCAAGATTCACCTAAAGTACTATGCGTAGGAAGGAGACTATCTTGAAAGGAGTAACCAAATTCTGAATCGGGTTGACCAGGGGTCCCCAAACTGTAAGAATCTCAAAGAAGTTTCAGAATTTTCATCAATAATTTAATAAATGCATTTCTTCTGAGATAAGGGGGTTGATTTACTCCCAGCATGATCTATGGGTGGAATCTAAACACCTTTGTAGTGTGTACACACCCAGCAGGTGTGTTGTGCAAAGCCAAGCATGAATTGCAAGGTGATGTTGTGTAAATTAGCTCTATGTTGTGTTGCTTGCGTTGATGAATGCAGGAATGTAAATGCATGAGCTAACCATTTTTGTCTAAACTGTGAAGCAGCATTATATATGCATCATGTGCATGATTTTTCCATATATGGCATTAGTGGAAATATGCTTTTAGAGACTTTTTGGTTGATAAATACGTTTTGCTGTGTGAAAATCACACGCACCTGGTGCGTGCGTGTGTTTAGGTTAGTAAATCACCCCCAGGGTGTTCTTGTCCCTTTTTACTTCCTCAATATAAGTATCCAAAGATTCAATGAACAGGTGTTCCCCAGTAATGGGCAGTTCTCAAAATGTCTCATCACATTGTTGGCTTGCAAATTTGCATGGGGATGACAGTATACTGGATTTTTGTAGTGGCAATTTCTATGGAATTAGTACATTTTCCTATTTATACCCTAAACAAACATCTTTGCTTGCTTAATGCTGGCTAGTGTAGGTACATCTATAATGCTTAAGAAGAGAGGGAAAAATACAAATATTGCAGCATTTAAATCACTAACCGACACAAGAAAAATGTATAGTGTATTTTGCTAAGAAAAACCCATGCCTGTCATTCAGACCTTGATAAGGTCAAGAACTCAGACAAGGTTTTTGAAGCAGTCTAATAGAAGCAGAAACAAATATAAGTGACAGTGACATAAATATTTAAATAAAAAGTACTGGAAAAAAGTCTGATGCAAATGTCAAGCATGGCACTAGATTATACAGTATATATGAAAGCAATTAAAAGCCATTAATTCATTTAATGCTGTACATGTAATATATTCCAAATTTAGCAAATAGACACATATAAGAAAATGTAAATTGAGGTACAGTAAATGTGTTAAGCTAATGGTATGTATCTTGTGTTTGTTCCGTTATTGGTCCAGTTAGTCAGTACAAATATCTGGTATTGGCAATTTTTTTTTCCCCTACTGTGTGAGTTTTCTAAATGTGCCTATACACATGTAACAACAGTCAGAGCAATGTAATGCTTTCAATTGTAAGATCAGGCTCTAATAATTCTATGGGTAGACCCAATAAATAGGTATACATATTCAGGGGAAACCATTCTCAACAAAACATACTGCTCTGGAACATCTACCAGCTGACCATCCTTCTCTGATCCTGGATTCTCTTACACATAACTGTGTTGTTTTCTAGACATGTGCATGGCCGATATTTGTTATTCGTAATTTGGATCGATCCATAGTTTTTTTGTTTTTGAAATTCAGATCTATTCACATTTATTTGGGTCTGTTAGGAATTTAAGGGGTGACCCCATGTCAAGAAACAAAAAAAAACAGTATGGGGTCCCCCTCCAAATTCCTACCAGACCATTTAGGTCTGGTAGGAATTTTAGGGTGGACTTCATGCCAAGAAACAAACCATGGGGTCTACATTTTGTTTTGGCATGGAGTCCCCCCTAAAGCTCCCACCAGACCTAAAGGGTCTAGTATGACTTTGGGAGGGGACACCATGCTGTTTTTTGTGGGGATCTTCACATTTACCAACATACTGTATCAGTTCATTATGAATGACATTCCAACAAAATTCAGATGCATCCGTATTTTCGATATAAAAAATGTGCATATGTTTGAATTAGTTATTTTTCCTATTCGGAAATTCAGATGCATCTGAATTTCGAAATTTGCCGATTTTTAATTGACATTCGGATGAAAACCAATGCACTAGTTTACTGTTTTCTCTTCTCCATGTCTCTGCTCTATCACTACTATGCATCTAATTGACATCCCACTTATAGTTTTAGCATTACAGTATGCATATTGAGCAAAGTGTGTGACAGCTGCATTGTTCCACCCCGGCTCTAAGAATTAGGAAGACCAAACTTACTCTCACAATATTTGTCATTTAAGTATCCTTGCTACAGTTTACTGACTACAGTCTAGAGTTGTTGAGCAAATCAATGTAAATGAAAAACAATTAGCAAATGTTCTGTAGAGTCTGCTTAAACAGATGACGAGCCTAGTTAGGCAAGTAACAAAAATATTAAAAAGCACTCCACAGCTAGTATTACAGACCAAAAATTATTCTAAAATGACAACACAACAGGCCAGAATAGTATAGCTTTCACAGTACTTTTAAATAATTTTTCATTAAAACCACATCATAAATCAAGCATCATAAAAATACATTTGGCAATTTATTATTAAATATTAACAAAATAATTTTACCTACCAGCCCCACAAAGATGCAGAAAAGCTGAACAACATCAGTATAAGCAACAGAGTATAGTCCACCGACAAGGGTATAAAAGATGGCAATCAAGGCAGACACTACTACTGAAATGTTGATGTTAATGTCCACTATAACACTTATGGTGGCACCTAATAGGAAAGCATAGTAAACATTAATAAGTGTGTGATTTGTTAAACAGAAAAAAACAAAAATTATGTTTGGAAATCTGTGTTGAAAAAGAATGGTTAGCAATGGCAGCCTCATATTTTTCTTAGTAAGGGTTTCCTTTAAATACCAGGGGTGCCAAAAATATGTATACATATTTTAATAGATGCTATCTATGTATTACTTTTCGAAGTTGAATTGAATTACGGTAGCAATGTGTAGTATGATGTTCGCTCACAAGATGGTGTTAATCAAATGAATGCTAGCATCACCATATGACAGGCAGGATAGTCAAAGAAAATGGGGGAAGCACAGTTATCGTTCGAGGAGCACAAGAGCATTTTGAAGTGGTATTTGAAATTTGAGAATGTTGTAGAAGTACAACGACAATGGAGGTGTGAGTATACAACAGAACCTCTAACATGCCTAACAATTGCACACATTTGTGATAAGTTTGAGACGCATGGTACTGTGGGTGATGTGCACAATGGAGGATCCGGGAGGCTGCACACAGCAACAAGTCCTGCTTCTTCTGCTATGGTGTTGAAACAGTTTACATGTTCGTTACTTAACTCAATGAGAATTTGCCAGGACAATAGATAGGACGAAGAGGTGCGGTTAAGTTTCCCTCTCCTTCTCCTGACTTAACACGCCTTGACTTCTACCTATGGGGAACCTTAAAGGATGTAATGTTTAATAGTAATAGTAATAGTAGTAATAGTAATAGTTAATGTTTAATAGAAAACTAGCTACACTGGTGGTACTTTGGGAAGAAATTCCAATGGCATGCGCAGCGATACAAGTAGACACTTTGGTTAGCCCTTATGTCATAGCAATAAAGTTAGGTGTAAACAAAAAAAATTAAAGTCACATATAAAAATGTTTACAAATGCAAAAAATTTCTTTTAAAGTCCCTCGCCCCCATGTGCATGCAGATACAAGCGCAAACACGTCGTGTGCACCTACGTGCAAAAAGGAAAATTTCGCCACACATGTTACATATCGCTGTGAACGTTGGAGTAAGAGCAATAATTCTAGAGACATCAATCACTAAATCACTGAGCAGTAAAAGCTTTTAAAGCATCACCTATGGGAAATATTGGTTATTGCATTTTTTTGCGGTTTCACAGCCAAATGCAATTTTAAGGCTTGACATGTCTGTTTAGCCGACATGACCCTGTCTTTTATATTTTACCAAAAAATTGGATATTAAATTCTGTTTCTGTGCACTAAATGTAATCTTAGTGTATGTTATCCTAAAAATACTGGTTTGATAAACATTGGCACAAAAACAGTGCAACATAAAAAATTCGAAAATTGCAACTACCATTTTTTATTCTACAGGGCCTCTGTGTTCAGAAAATATATAATTGTTTGGGGGGTTTTAAGCTGTTTTTGAGCCAAAAAAAATCTGATTTTATCGTGTGTGCAAATAATAAGAAATTACTCCTGACAGCAAGTGGTTAAGGTCTATAAGCTTGGAAAACTGGCTTAGAGAGAGAGTAGTGATAAATGATTCATACTCTTAATAGTCCAAGGTAAACATGTAAGCTGCGTAAAAATTCGGTTCGGATATTTCGTTTTTTAGGATTCTGGGTTCAGATCCGAAATTCAATTTGGCTTGGGTTTCTCAAATTTTCGTTAGTTTACAATCTTTGCTGCAAATACCACAGAAAACTATATGCAGATATTAATACTAAAGCTGAATCTCCTAGACCTGAATAGCATTCGCGATCCGGATCTCCGAATGGCATTCGGGAGCTCCCGAATGCCATTCGGATCTGGGACCCATGTACATACAGTATATTACTAAAGCCGAGGCTCCCAGTCCCGAACGACATTCAGGAACACCCCAAGGCATTTCGGAAATTCGGATCCCGAATGCCATTCGGGTCCGAGAGCCATATACATATACAGTATTAGTAAAGCTGAGGCTCCCAAATGCAATTAGGAAATTCAGATCCCGAATGCCATTCGGGTCTAAGAGCCTCAGCTTTAGTATTATATGTACATACTGTATATGGCTCCCATGTTGCCGTAACGAAAATTAGTGTTCAGACCCATTCGAATGCATGAAACCGAAAAACACATCTGATTGGCCAGAAAAGTCACATGTCCAATTCAGTCTAGTTTTTGAACAATACTCGGACGGGAATCCGAAATTTGGAAACGGAGATTCGGACACATTCGGGTGCATTGGGATTTGGAAATTCGGATGTGTCCGAATGTCGGAAAATTTGTACGAATTTTGATTCGGAATGAAACGAATCACACATATCTAGCCCTGTAGTGGTGCCTGGACTGGAGTGACATCACATTCGGGTTGCAGCCACATCTACAGGGCACACAATGGAGCTGTACAAGCAAGGTCCATATGGATGGAGCTCTATCACAGAACAGCAGCCCACAATGGACCCCAGGCTAAGTATCCACTCCAGTTCCCGTTAAGTAGGGAGACTGGGTGGATCTTAAGAAAAATTTTAATTTTTGGGGGTATGTGTGTGTGTGAATGTCTGTGAGTGTGTGAGATTGTGTCTGTGTATGTATGTATGTCAGTGTTTTGAGGGCCCGTTCACACTAGTACAGTGCAATAAACTGTACCACGCAATCACACCTACCACGCATTCTGGTGTGGGAGGTGTGTTGTGTTACCGTTCATTTGAATGGTACCCCAAACGCACCTCCCACCCACAGCTCGATCGCCCACAGCGGAATGCGCGGTACCCTACTGCTGTGCGTTCCATTGCAGTGTGACTTGGGTCGTGACTTAATGACTAGGGACAAAGGTGGGTCCTGACGTTACACAGGTTGAGAACCACTGATCTAGAACCTGTATAAAGCTTTAGTAAGACCTCATCTGAATTCTTTGATCAGTTTTGGGCACCAATTCACAAAAAGGATGTTGCAGAACTGGGGAGAATGCACAGAAAGGCAACTAAATGAATAAATGTATTTAACCACTTGAAAACTGGGGTTTTCCTGGCCAGGTCATTTTTCAGTATTTAACGCTGCGGTACTATGACTGACATTTATTAAGTCATGCAACTCTGCACTGTTGTCACCTAGGGACCCCCAAAGAAGCTTCTGTAGCTGGGGCGTGACAGCTGAATGCAAAAGTTATGTAGTAAACATCACTTCTGCACTCACAACACTGGAGGGGAGGTAAGAGGGAGATCATGTACTGATCTCTCACCGCTCTTCCTGCACAGAGCCACAGTGATCAGGCGCCTCTACAGACGTCGGACCGCTTGTATGTAAACAGCCATCGCTAGCTGTTTCAAATTTTGACAGTTTCCCCTTCATGCTCGGCAGGCAGCATGCACGAGTGGGCGCCGGCACAAAGAACATTTTTAGATGTCCACCCGTATCTAGAAGGTGGTTAAGTGAGTAAAAGATCACCTGGTATAAATATATAAATGGTCCATATACAGGTGAAACTCGAATAATTAGAATATCGTGCAAAGTTCATTTATTTCACTAATGCAACTTAAAAGGTGAAACTAATATATGAGATAGACTCATTACATGCAAAGCAAGATAGTTCAAGCCGTGATTTGTCATAATTGTGATGATTATGGCTTACAGCTCATGAAAACCCCAAGAACCCCAAAACCTCAAAAAAGTAGATTATTACATGCAATCAATAAAACAAGGATTGTACATAGACCAATATCGGACCTCTGAAACGTATAAGCATGCATATGTACTCAGTACTTGGTTTGGGCCCCTTTTGCAGCACTTACTGCAATTACTTTTGCACGATATTCTAATTATTCGAGTTTCACCTGTAGTAAACTTGTTCTCCTTGCAAACAACAATGAGGCACTTTTTGAGTTTCAAAGAAAAGAGGTTTAACTTCTGCATATAGAAAGGCTTCTTTGTGGTAAGATCTGTGGAAATGTGGTACAGACGTCCACTGGAGCCAGCTATTAATATTTATAAGTAATACCACCATACATTTTTGATCCAGGGAATATGCAATTCCCATAGGGAATCAGGAAGGATTAGACTATACTTCATAAAGATATTTTGTTGTTTTCCAGATCAGTTTTTGGTTTAGAGCTCTGTGCAGGTTTTTTAATGTATTTATTTTTTGATTGCTTGAACTTGATGGACATGTGTTTTTGTTTCAAACTGACAATCTATGTAATATAAATGTTTTTATGGCCCATTAAATATGCTTAAACTAAATCTGCTTGTTTATTGGCCAATGTATTTCCTCTTTAGATAGGGCTAAGAAATATTTGTATTTGCAGATGATTTGGACCTATTCAAAAATGTCATGTTTTTACAACCAGATTTTATGAAATTCAGTTATTTTGTTTGCCTGGCTTTACAAATAGAAGTTCTCAAAAGCCTCTTTAGAAAATCCACAAATCCAGTAACTTAATATTACTGTGATTACTGTCTTCATAAACACAACGTAAATAATCACCTTACTGCTTCACGTCTAATCAGGACACAGCTGGAAATTAGACTAGATGATGTTTATTACAACAAATTAAGCTTGGCCTGAAGGAAAAGTAATAAACCAGGCCACCAGGGGCAATAGCACTTGAATCAAATACAAGTAGCTGCTTACAAAGATAATTTAACTCAAATTTGTTTTTTCCTATATTAATGATTCACATTATGGAACAAATTATTGTTTATTTCCAAAAAAACAAATATGGTCTATTTAATGTCTTAGCCTGCACTGTTACTTTACATTATATCTTGAACCATATGATGAAAGCTTAATCTAGAGGCCCAGCTTTAGTAGCAGTTAAACTATCTCACCGTCACCCCACGATGTAAAGGGACTTATTTGCCTCCACTAACTTTCCATTCTTAATTCATAGCTACATGAAAGAGTTGCCATGTAATGATTATTAATGTCTCCACATGAGTCCTACCTTTAATGTCATATGTGATTGAAGCTAACATGGCTTTGCTCTTCTAAACAATTATAAATGGTAACTCACTGTATACAGTATATGTGTAGTGATCTGGGTTTAAACTTGTAAGCCCTATGTTTTTAGAACTCAATCAGCAAACACTTACCAGAATAGGCTATATGAGGAACTAAAGAAACTTATACATGTCAAATGGTTATCACTTTTTTCAGATTTTAATTAAGCCTTCAATGTCAAAATAAGCAATAGTTAAAATTGCAAAAGAGCGCAGAGATTTTTCGAATGTTCTCTACATAAATACTTGTAGAACTATAAATAAATATATGACTACAAAAGGTTCCTAAGAATTTATAATACACTACAATACACCACTGGTGTTACATTCAATGTGTAGAGGGCCATGTCCAAGATTTCTGCCTAGGGCCATGTTTTGGCTAAAAGCAGATATAGAAATAATGGATGTGTTTACATTGCTTGACTAAACCTATTCAACATTTTGTCTCTTCTCTTCATTTGAGAAAGCAGGCATTGAAGAGGTAGGTGGCTCTTTCTCTCTGACCTCATTTTTCAACCATGTGCTGGAAGCAAAATTATTGTGCAGAGTCAGTATGCATCACTTTAGGTTTTTTATTAATGCACTTTTAGCTGTATTTGACATAGTTATTATATATTTAATGTTTGTTTTTTCCTACTCTTCATTTTGTTTTGTTTTACAAAATGTATCACATTTATCAACACTTTTACTGCATCTTTATACGCTCATTTAAATGCTCAAATAGAATTTTAAAACCCAAAGTAAATTTTGATGCTTTAAAGAGCTAACATAAAGTATATGCACTCGGTTACATATTTAGTAAAGTGGCTGTTGTTACTAAAACTTTGTATGAGGTATGTAGAATCTGTGTATTATTCTTACCTAAAGCAGAGAGTATGGCAGCAGCCCAGAACATTTCTCCCATCAGTGCGGGTATGAAAAGCAAACCTCCCATTCGTCTTCCATATATCTGCTGGAAAGGATCCAGCATGGTCACATATCCTTTGGACCGCATAGGCTTTGCAAAGAACAGACCACCTAAATAAATAAATATAGCTTAGCTATTTTGGAAACAAGATTATCTAACACCGTTGTGCCCAAGTAAAAAAGACTAATAAATGAACCACACACATAAAAGGGAAGTACACAGTACACATATGTAGCAATAACACCTAGCCTGCAATAACAGGCTCATGATGCATCCTGCTCAATTACTTTTCTCAATTTAAAATGTGTTTAGAAGTGTAAAACATACATACATATACATTATTTTATCAGCTCACACAAAGAATATAAACAAGCTGATCTTATTACTGTATACTAATAAAGGTTTCAAAGTTTACAGACATTGCTACATGACAAGTATATTATGCGGACTGTTGTAAATATAAAAAGTAAAATAGAAAAGATGATTTGGGAATAAACCTGTAAAATCCTTTTTTAGGAGCCCATTGAGGGATACATGAGTTCAGATATTTGGGTTTTACTGCTGCATACAGGAGGATGTGGACACTGGCAAACAGAAAAAATCTGAAGGTCAGCCTAGGATAACCCCTCCTCTACCCAGCATGCCTCAGTTTGTACCAAGCAGAGCACGAACACAGAGGGGGGCACCGGTGTACCTAAATGGACTCCAAGAAAAGGATTTTATGGTGAGTGCAATAATCCTAATTTCTTTCTTGGTTATTGATGGAAACATGAATTCAGGTACAGACAGTAGGTTCAAAAGCAGTCCAACTAATGGGTGGGCAACACATTAACCAACACTAACAGGCCCAGTGAACAGAAGTGGGGACTGCTTGCAGCCCAAGAGGTGCCTGAAGGACCGAATGCCTGCATCTCAGGGTGAGGCTGAGCACCCTACCAGATAGAGGAACCTGTCAATGTGACCAGAGGGAGAACATGGAGAATCAATCTGATGTTCCCAGATAAAAGGTTACTACAGAGGGGAATAACTCCACACGGAAAGGAACACTGAACTGGAACCTGTGAAAAGTTTATCAACCAAAACAGGTGAACAATGGCAAATTACTGTGTAGTGAAGAAAAGATCCACAAATTGTTCATCAAGAAATGGAATCAAGCCTTGAAGCCCCTAGAAGGCACCAGTCCTCTTTAAGAGGCAGGAGCCACATGGCCTGGACATGTTTGGCCACACAACAGCCTGTTCCTCTATCTTGCACTGCTGGAATGGACAGTGTATCCTGGTGAAGGATGTACGCAGTACGGAGTTTCCTTTTATGCGGCAGTGGTGGTCATTTTGTGGTAGAGGAAAATTATCTCACCAAACCAACTGACTAAGTAGCTCCCAGTGCTTCTCTGAGTCTTCAGAGGGTTCTGAACCTGGAAAGTGCCCTGCAGCTAACTTTTACAAATGTTCAATGTCTGAAAAGCGGATCCCAGTGCCTGAGGATCACATTACAGGCTAGCCCTCAGTCATTCACTCCAGCAGGGTCCGGGAACAGCACTCTGGACAGTTCTGGATAATTGCCATATAGAGACCAGCTCAAGCAGGAATCTTGGTTGGACTCAATGGAAGAAGAAATCCCAAAATATAATAAGGCTATCAAAAAAAGGCTATAAAAATTGGTTAAGACAGAGGTGAAGGAACAAAGTCCATCCTCCTAGGGCACTTGCAAATAACGCATGCTGGGTAGAAGAGGGGTTATTTTCTGTTTGCCAGTGTCCAAATCTTCCTGTAGATGGCAGTATTACCAGACTGTATTTGAATTCCTATGTCCCTCAATGGACGAGAAAGAAAGTTATTTATGTTCCATATAGAGATAGTTAAACATTTTTTATTGTGTATGTATTAGGGAAGTAATACAGCACGATCTAGAGTGATAGGTGCCAAATGGCTAAGGAAACTCTATAACAGTTCAACATGCCTCCACCTCATCACTACAGCACTGCAATTAGCAATGTTTTCTCTACCCAAGTGTTGCTGATTGCAGCACTGTAGTGATGACAAGCAGGGGGGATGTGTTGGTTCGCTGTATACAGATTGTTGCACACAAATAGAAGTGATTCTTAGCTGAAGTTTCCTTCCTGGCTTGGGGCTTTTCTGTTGGAGCTGTAAGCGCATTATGAATATAAAGCACAGTGAAATGTATAATATATTATACACAGCGAGTATGATTTAAGAAGAAAGTACAGTTGGGCATTAAGCTTATTCTAACAACTTCTGAGAAAGACACTTTAATCTATGCTATGAGCTTAAATGTAGTTTAAGCTCATAGCATAGATTAATAGCATAAAAGGATGCAGAGTTCTAGGGAGGGATTGTTTATCAACTCTTGTAATGATAATGCTATAGTATTTTATAGTATTAAAACTCCTACACCAACTGCAACCTTTGAGCTTTAAGGGGTACCAAAATCTGATATCAGCATATAGCAGAATTATTGCAGGTCCCAGTCGTGTTAACTGTTACTACCAAAGTCAAATCTGTGGTGGAAAACCATCAGCGATAGGGTATCTCCATATGGTCTATGTTACAGTTAGAAATATTGATAACATTTTGAATATGCTCTGATCTCAGTTAATGGAGTTTTGAGTGTAGACCAGCTTCCCTAGCTGTTTCAAATCCCTGCTTATAGTAATATGGTGTGGTCTTCACAGGAAGACCTTAAATCTTGGCTCCCAAGGCCCATCTCAGCACAACAGATTTATTTATAGTAAGCTTAGTACCATGCTTGCACTAAACCGATTGCAAGCTCAGCCGTTTATATTAGGGATGCACGATATATCGGCTGCCGAAACATATCGGCCGTAAATGCCACTTTTGGCATCATGTCTCCAGTGTCTCAGGATGACTCTCAGGTGGTCAGTGCGGGGATCTCTGGTGGTCGGTGCGGTATTTAGTCAGACTCAGGACATTCCAACATACAGTACATTACAAAAAGCTTTAGGGTCTCACCAGGGCTCTGTGGGGTCTCGCCAGCCTGGTTAGACCCCTCAGAGCCCTGGTGAGACCCTAAAGAGCCCTGGTTTATTCAGGGCTCTGTGGGGTCTCGCCAGCCTGGTTAGACCCCTCAGAGCCCTGGTGAGACCCTAAAGAGCCCTGGTTTATTCAGGGCTCTGTGGGGTCTCGCCAGCCTGGTTAGACCCCTCAGAGCCCTGGTGAGACCCTAAAGAGCCCTGGTTTATTCAGGGCTCTGTGGGGTCTCGCCAGCCTGGTTAGACCCCTCAGAGCCCTGGTGAGACCCTAAAGAGCCCTGGTTTATTCAGGGCTCTGTGGGGTCTCGCCAGCCTGGTTAGACCCCTCAGAGCCCTGGTGAGACCCTAAAGAGCCCTGGTTTATTCAGGGCTCTGTGGGGTCTCACCAGGGCTCTGTGGGGACTGGTTAGACACCACAGAGCCTGGTAAAACCCCACCGAGCCCTGGTTAAACCTGGTGAGATCCCAAAGAGCCCTGGTGAGATCCCAAAGAGCCCTGTTTAAACTAGGGCTCTGTGGGGTCTCACCAGGGCTCTGTCCAGTGAGCTGCATTAACTTCTATGTGCTGGCCATATGTTAATCCTAATGTACAGGCACCCCATAGAAGTCTATGCAGATCATTGAGTAAATTACTGTTCTCAGCAGCCCCAGAGCTCATGTAAATAAAGCTGCCACCATGGGCTACTGAAAGCTGAACCAAACACCCATAAAGCCTGTGGTCTGCATTGTTATTCATTGTAAGTTATGTAAAGGGTAATGGAGTGGACATTAACAGAGTTATTCACAAAAGGGTGAAGAGTTTGCAGAAGGCAGGAGAAGTGAACAATCTAGTCAATCTAGCTGAACTGGAAAGTGAGCTGAACTGGAGAATGTTTCCAAATCAGCTATTTTGTCCTAGATTGTTCACTTCTCCTGCCTTCTCCAAACTCTGCACCCTTTTGTGAATAACCCTGTTAATGTTTTTCATATCTCATTTTAGTTTCACTTACAATTAGTCATGACAACAGCAGGCATTGTAATTATTTTCACATATTTCATTGACAAACAGCTTAACAGAGGACTTCTACTAAAAGCAAGACATTATGTCTAATGTCTGGGGATATTACATGTGAATAACATACCCCCAACCATTTCCATGAGATTCGAACCAAATTTCGGGGGCGTGTATACCCACCCTGTTTCAGCATGCAATGGGGAAAACCTATTCCCACTTCCAGGTCCAGGTCATGTGATGAAAATGTCAAATGTATACTTGGTCTGAGGCGTGAAGATGCTGTGGAGGGGGAAGGGAGGGGGCTGAGGAGATAAAGAAGGGTGACAGCCACCACTCTCTGCATGGAGAAGACCGTGAGTGATCAGCGGTCACATAATTGCTGCATTGTCGATCTATAGAGCCAGCCTGGGACAGCTGCAGTGTCACACTCTGGCTCTAAGTATTGGTAAGATTGCATTTTACTTTCCCAACACTTCTTCTGTATTGTCTTCTGCCATAGGGGAAGTGAAAACACAGGTGCAAAAACGTGAGCAATTGAGCTGTAATTAGTATGCTTGGAAGCTCTTCCTTAAAATGGACCTAGACTCAGGCAAACTTATGCTTCCAACAGAGCATGACAAGTCAGTTGTGAATGATATAACACAAAAGGGGCATATTTATAAAGCAGTTAATCTGAGGTTCATCAAATACTCACAGTGAATCTTTGTGGTGCACATGTTTTAAATGACCATGAGTGATTCACCACCAGTGAATGTTTGGTGAAAGTTACATTGACTGCTCTATAAATATGCCCCTCACAGTACACTTTGTAAAGCTGGTTTTTTTGCCTAGGTCTGCTTTGGGATTAATTCCCAATACTGTGTGGCTGCAAAGCAGCCATTATACAAGTGAGCAAGCTATCAATCGGCAGTTTTTCCTGTTAATCGACCTAGCTGGCCTAACAAACCTAGTAATTCATAATCAGAGGCTCAAGATGATAATTTCAAGCTCCCAATGTGAGATAACTTGTAAGGATAAAAGAAAGGAGAGTGCCTAGGCACTGTTACCTATGTCTATGTTCTTCACTGCTTCTAATATGGAATTACATGCTATAGGTACATTTAATTA